CTGGGCCTACATACAAGAAGAAGCATCCATTTTCAATCGCATTTTTCGCGTGGCTGAAAACATGAGCTTCCGCAAGCCTTCCGCGAAGAAACGCTTCCGTGGAGCTTCCGCGTCCTTCCGCGCGCACAGGAAAACCTAGTTTTCGGACTATGATTTGGTGAGTTTCTGTGCTGCGCACTGATAATTGATCTACCTTGAAAAAAAACCACCGCTCATATAGGGATACCTTCCTTAACGACCGCAAGACATGACCACACCTTCTCCAAAACTTCGCTCACAAAAAACTCGGTAAGCCCTGAAGCGCCATACCCTAAACGCAAAACCCTTAAAGACTCATATGAGCCATAGTCTAAACTTCTAGTATCCCTTTCATAACCCGAAAATAATCCCCTGGATGATCCGCTATAGTAATAACCGCCCCGTTATTTGCTTGCAACTCTGACGTTCGAGCGGCGGAAGAGTGAGTGTCGGTAAAATAACCGCCCCTTTACGCAGCTTGGATTCTAAACCCTAAACCCTAAACCCTAGCTCATTTGCCCAAAGCGGAAGCCCTGAGACCTAGAGCCGAACCCTGAGCAAGCAACCCTGGACCCTTGACTGGCAGGGTTTAGGGTTTAGGGTTTAGGGACGCAGTTAAAGAACTTAGATTAACTTACTATATCAGGGAAAATCGAGTATTTACTACATGCCCTACATGCTCATATGATGGCAACTTAATCCAAATTCCTTAGCAACAACCCAATAAATCCCAAGCCCGAAACGCACCTAAACCCGGAGCTAAAGCGTAACGCTAGATCTTACGCCCATGCGCTTAAGCCCCAAGCCATCTGGGCTAATCTGAACCCCCAAAATCCTACTTATGCACTCATGTTTGCGGGCTTCTTAAAATAACATAGGGTTCGAGTCCGGAGTTTTGAACAGGTGGCTGTTTATGACCTATAACACTTCTGTTTATCTTGCGCTTGAAAGTTTAAGGTTGAAGGAATAACCTCTAACCTCTACACCCTAACCCTCATGCACCCGATACGTAGAAATCGAGGACAGGTACCCTATACAATTTCCACAAACCCCAACCCTAAACCCAAAACCCTCGAATACAAAGGCAGGCCGTAACTTCCTCCACAAGACGGTGTAGAAGAATAAGTCTTGAAGCGACTGCCCCATGAAGCCTCTAGGGGTTTGTGTTTAGGGCTTGGGGGTTACGGGTTAGGGTTTAGGGGTTTAGGGCTTACTGTTCAGGAGGGATATTTCAAACCCTTTCAGCCATACATTAACCCTACTTATTTCCAATTCCTTAAGTTCCTCTGAATCTCCAGGTAGGTGTTTAAATCTCGGCATTTCAGAGCATTTATTTGCTTAGGAGTCGACTTCGCAATCTAGGCTCTTCCATGGTCTGACTGAATGTACATAATCCGCACGATACTGGGAAACCTTGCATAGCTCAAGTCAAGTTCCCTCCTCCGCCCCCACTACCCCTCTACACTGCAACTTGATTAGCCCTCACGATCCATTGATCGCCCATTTGGGCAGAACCTAGGGGGTAATATAGGAGGGGTAGTGGGGAAACCCATGGTTAATGGCAGGAGTGTTCCTTGTTACCTGCCGGTACCTAGATAACCTCTAGGCGCTGGCATACTCTATTGAGTGCTCTTTATAATTGCCGTGTGAGGAGGAAACAAGTAGAACTTACACATCTGTTTGAGAATGTTCTCGGCACCAGAGTAAGCTTGATGCCATGAAGGCACCTGAAGCACGGCCCTAAACCCTAACCCTAGTTTTGAGAGATCCCGATCCCCGTTTGATGTTCTTATTAGATGTGTTTAGCGAAGTAAGAAGAAAGATTTTTGCACCCAGGGTGGAGGATCCCTAGTTTCAGGGGTGGACCATGCAGAGTATAGGGCTTCGGCTACAAGATTTAGTTAGGTCGAGGGTCTACCCCTAAACCCTAAACCCTAACCCTAAGGGTGTAGGGTTGATTTAGGGGAAGAGGATGCAGGACTCGTAGGATGCAGGACTTGTGGGGCTGTGGGGGATTCGGGTCAGGGCAAGTACGTATTGGACACGGCCCAGGACGGTGATGATGGGTATTTATGCCAAGAAACAGAAGCTAAATAACATATGGTAGGTTGCCAGAATAACGGTCCCCTTATGGGTTATAGCTGGGCTTTTAGTGCTTGAGGGTTAAGGGTTCAGTCGCGGACGCATCCCTTCTCCGGATTTGGGCTTCTGGCTTAGCAGACTTTCCATTGGAGACAAAAACCCTAAACCCTAAACCCTTGAGAAACTTGTTCAGCTCTGCCCCTGTCTCATTCCCTGGCTTCAAGTTCGGCAACTGCCCGAACAGCCGCTGATACACAGAGCTCCGCCTTGCTGCCTGATTGTTTTCCCTAAGGGTCCAAGTACCTAATAATCAGATACTAACCCAAAACCTGTGCTATAAGTACTATTACCCAAAACCCAAGTACCTAATTATTGGGTACTTGGACCCTGTGGGTTTGTCCTTGCGAACTTCAGCTGGTCGCGCAGTTCGGCAACTTCGTCCGAACACAAACGTACCCACACTCGCGCCAATGCTTTCGTGAGCTTCCCGCTGTCGGGCAAGACATAGGCTTCCGACGGATGCCAAGTCGCTGAGGGCGCTGCTGCCTTTAGTCGCCTTCTTACGGGCCGACTTCACTGCCCGCGCTTTGGGCGCGTACCGCCTCTCCGCCGCCTCGGGTTCCCTTCAGGTAAATGATGTTGAATCCCGACTAGCCCGGGGGGCCCGAAGAAAATGTGTTTCCCTTTTTTCTTGAGAATTACTCTGGACACCCGATTCGACTCGGGAAGCCAAATAAACTGAATTTCTAGGCCTAAGAATCTGGGGAAGGTTTGGTTCACAAGGCCAGAATCCTATTGGTCTTAAAGGCCAGGCCTCTACCCTAAACCCGGTTACCAAAGCCATTGATTTCTTTTTGAACCGCTTATTCAATCAGGCAAGGCCGTCAAATTCCAAAGTGGGTAGTTCAGCAGACCCCCTGGTCCTCAATAATGATACTGTCAAAGACTTGCGGGCGAGGGGGGGCTCAGTTATGTAAAGGTTGTCTTTGTAGGCTAATGATGAGACTAAAGGACATTAGACTCAAAGACCTGGGCATTGAATATGAAGGCCAGGTTCTAGTACCATTGGAATCTGGAATCTGATATTACACAAACCATGACTTATTGTTGAACCGCTTATTTGGTCAAGCCAGGCAATCCAACTCCAAATGGGCGTAGTCCATCAGACCCCTAATCATCAAATATGTAAAGGATTTGCTGGGGGGCGGGGAGCACAATTATGTAAAGGTTTTCGTGGGGCATGACCGGTGAGGCCCTTAAAATGAATTCTTGATTGTTGTTACTTCTATGTCTAATGCATTTTCATTGAATTTAGACTCTTTTCGATCAGATTACGGGTTTGAATCACATGTTAATTGATTCTGATTTGGCGTTAAAAATGCTCTAAATCGAGTGCAAACGGATTTTAGTTGGATTTTCACTGGTTTAAACGGCCGTTCAACATAAAGGCCGAGCTCTATTACCAAGGACGCCGCAGCCCATCGATTCTCCTTAAAACTATAGTCCCCCTTAAGTAGATTTAATACTGTATGGCTTTGGGTATATTATAATAAGATCCCCATATACCCTATATCCTATCTACTTAAGGGGGACTATAACCTGAGCCATTCCTCGAGAATTTAATAGGAGGCGGGGAATCTCCTTCCCTTATTGACTTTAATAGTTGGGGGTTTGAGGTTTGGGACTTAGAGATAAAGTTTCGGAGCCATGGGACCGCCGCGACTCGTTTTTCAGGACTCCTTATCACAGAGGCCTGAATTTTTAATCAAGGTCTAACAGTACTGAACAGACCCACCTGCCCTTTACCCCCAACCTGAGAACCTAAAACCCCAAGACCTGAACCCCCATTCCCATAGCCATAGCCTACAAAGCCCTACTGCACCTGAACCTTTTCGAAGAGACGCCCTAAACCCAGTTTGGGCTACAGTCTTAACTCCTAGTATCCCCCTTGATAGTCCCTATAGTGTACTCCCCTCTATAACCCCCTATATTACACCCTTTAAGGAGTTCAGACTATAGCAACAAACCCTATATCTAAACCTTTCCGAAGGGACGCCTTTGCAGCGTTTGTCGTTGTTTCTGCAGTCTTGGCCCGAAGTCCTCCGACTTGTCCGTACTGGTTCTTAGTAGGGAATATGGCAGTATAATCCCTATATAATCCCCATAAACCATGCAGTATGGTTTACAGGGATTATGTACGGAATATACTGCCATATTCCCTACTAAGAACTGGTAAAAATGGTTTAAGCGGAGAGCACCCGCAACTGCAACTCTATGAAGGAAACCTTGCAACAGAGAGCAGCCGCATAATACTAGGGTCGTGGGTTTATATAGTGTATATGAGGTGGTGAGGATTCCGATTTTTTCAGTCCTGAAAACGGTTCAGGGCATGGGGTGTGTGTGTCACTACAGGAGTTGGATCTAGGTTGGCTGGTTGATGGGTTAATATAAAGAATTGAGGAATGGACCCCCGTGGTGCCTGTACAGTCCCAGGAGAGTTGGACTAGCTCCTATACCCTTTATTCCCTACTGTCTCTCCAGGCTGGCATATTGAACATTCAAT